AAAAACGGGATCGCCTTACATGGAGACCGCCAACCGCTTCACTCCGCTGGACTCAAATCGACCGCATTGCCATCAGCCGCCGCTGGCGATGATTCATTGAAGACTGCCACTCCTACTGGTCAACAACCGTGCACAGGGACCATGCTCTACTATGAGCGATATTCTCTCTACGCTTAGTAAACAAACGCAGAAAAGCCACCGAAAACGGATGCCCAAGATACAATGTCACCAATGGTTGCAAATAGGCCTTCGAAACGGAACTCTCAGATCGTCTGTCAGCACAACAATCAGTCGGAGGACTCAGTGAGCACTGGACGGCAATCACGGAAGCGATCAAAATGTCAATAAAAACAACAGAAAATTCTGAGTCACGATCAAATAAAAAACGATGGATCTCCCCGACTTTGGTTGCCCTGCTGGACGCTCGCTAAGCCAATCCTTCGGATTCAAACTACGACAAAGCGCACAAATCCCTTAAACGCCAGCTCATCAAGAGTCTCAGGAATGACCGCGAGAAGTGGTGGGTAGGACAGTGTAGAGAGAGGGAGAGGGCTACGTCTATCGGTAGTGGTCGCAGTCTTTTCCGATTAATTGGGAGTACAGGTCGAAGGGAAGCAGGTGTAAGTGAGGTAATGAAGGAGTTCGACGGCAAAATTATCCACATTCAGCAACGCCGTCTAGATCGATGAGCAGAACATTTTAAGTCTCAGTTCAGCTGGCCTTCGTCAGCACAAGGCCTCACAACACACGATTCAGCTGTGCAAATACTGCTAGTTGACATCAGTTCTCCATCTGAAATAGAGGTTATCCGCGAAATAGGCTATCTCACAAAGTATAAGGCCTCGACGGGCTGCCCCATCGGTTTTTAAGGATGGAGGTCCAGTTTTGGTTTTGGAGTTAACAAAACTCCTGGGTTCAGTGTGGGAGAGGGAACAGGTTCCAACTGAATGTTGTGAATCGGCCATCATACTGATTTACAATAAGGGCGACAGGTCCCCTTGTGAAAACCACAGGAATTAGTTTATTTAACACTGCCTCTAAACTTCTCGCCGGCATCATACTCTGTCGATTGTCTGCCGCTCGTGAAGAGTGCACACGTGAGAATCAGGCTAGCTTTACACCTGGTCGAGGTTGTATCGAACGCATCTTTACTCTTCGTCAAATCCTAGAACACAGACACTTTTCGTAGACTCACCATTTCCATCTTCCTCGACCTGAAAACGGCTTTAAACTCAGTCGATCGCTCGGGCGCTGCCTTTCCCTAAAGGGTGTGCCCGAGAAGTATATTTCAATATTACAATCCCTCTAGAATAATAGCCGAAGCCGAGTCCGAGCAAACAGCACTTTTTATCCGAGTTCACCACGGAAAGTGGTGTTCGGCAGATTTGCCCTCTCTCTCCATTTCTATTTAACTTCGGTAAAGATTTAATTCTTGAATCAGTCCTATCCTCGTGCGGAGATAGCGGCATCGATTTACTCCCAGGTGGCAGACTATCTGATCTAGAGTACGCAGACGACATTATGGTACTAAGTGAAGATTCAGTAAGTAGCAAGCTTTTCTGGATAGTTTGAGTGCTAGTGTAGCGATGTTCGGCATGCGCTTTGCACCTTCAAAGTGCAAAATGCTACTACAAGATCGGTTTGACCCCAATCTCACCCTGACCGGGGAAGTTGTAGAGATAATAGACAAGTTTGCTACCCGGGCAGCTATATATCACCTGGCGGACGCATCACAGATGAAATGTCGGCGCGTATGCAAAAAGCTCGGTTGGCATTTGCCAACTTGAGACATCTGTGGTGCCGTCGCGACATCCTGTTATCTGTGAAGCGTCGAGTATATGCTGCAGTAGGCCAGTTCTGCTTTACCGTGCAGAGACTTGGCCATTACGGGAACGAGATAAAAATGGACTGTTGGTGTTCGAACACCGCTGTTTACGTAGCATTGCACGAGTCTGATGGGGAAACCGGACATTCAATGCTGGGGTTAGAATTAGAGTTTTAGGTAAGCGCGATCGTCGACTGGAACAAGTAGTCGATCTCCATAAATTACGCTGTTTGGGACAAGTGCTACGCATGTTACCAAAAAGGTTGCCACAGCGAGCGATGCTTGAAGGGGTAGGTAGCGGTTGGAAAAAATAAAGGGCGGTCAAAATCAGATCTGGCATGAGGGTATGAAAACCCTGACCAGGAAACTGGGTCACATAGGTCCCTTTAGGCTCCCTGGTTGGGGATCCAGAGATCATAGTCACCGGTGGTTAGAGACACTGAGCGATATGGTTAGGTGTTGCAAACAGTGACGCTCATGCATCTACTCATTATTCTTGTAACTTCAGTCTATGAAAATGTGCTACCTTAGGTTTACATCTGCTCTCGATATTCTAATCATCGTTTTGCTGTTGTATCTAAATGGACAACCAAAAGACAGCAACCAACACCGGCGCACGAAAGTGCATGGTTGCAAGAACTGAACTGAACTGATAGTGATGTGAAATTTGTAACAAAGATGGTTTGGGAATATTAAGAAAAGTACAAATAATTATTTTATCGTGGTTACTTCCCGATATTCTCATTCCGTATTTTGTTTGGTGACCCGACAATGAAATCGCGCACTTCATTCGTAGGGCAATACTGCAAATATAGTAAATAATGCTCTAAGCTCTTTGGTTAAATCGCGTTTCGAATATATATAACAACAAATATGGACAAACTGTGCAGTGTTCCGACAAAACCTCTTTTGAGTTACACTTTCAAAAGATTTGAAGACGGAATGTAGATTTTCCAATCTGAATAGCTTCGAATTTTACAGACTGTCTCCGTGAATCAGAGATGTTCCAGAATTTTATCAATGCATGGGTAGTCACCTACCAGGCACGAAGGGATGAGAGGAAAATTGTTAACCAGGAGATGATTATTTTATTTTGAACCGTATGTAACAACGAAAATTATTACAATCAAGTTGAGGGGCTAACAAGTTAACTAAATATTTAAAGAGTTCAGATTAATTAACCCCATCGGAGGGTACCACTAAGCAACAAGGTAAAATGACAGACTATTAAAATGATTTGATAGTGTGTTGAACTCAATAAGGCATATGCCTCACATTTCATTAAAACAAAAAGAAGAGAAATGTCGCGCGTTGTTAACATTTCGTTAAATCTTCTCAGTCGCTGACTCAAAACAAACAGGCACATATATAGCACATGGGATTAATCAATTATGGTGAAAGAACGTGTACAAGTATACAAGGATTATAGAATTTAGAAGTAAAAGGTCAACTCCACGGTAAGCGGTGATGGCCAACTGGTTAGGTTACCAACTATTGACCACGGTATCCCGGGTTCAAATCGCTCCACTGCCGCCCGTCTTCCGTAAATCTTTATTTTCCCCGGGCAGCCTTTGTATGGCGGCAGCCTCCTTCCTGAAAGTTGACTGCACATTTGTACATTCAATAAATAGAAAAAGGGAAGTAAAAAGACATTTGGTTTCGTTTTGTTGCTTGTTTTAAAAATTTCTGTGCGCATAAGGTCGGGTGATGTAATCGAATGGGCAGTGCTTCACTAATCACAAAAGGTTTAGCTTCGCGATTACGTAATAGTGGTTTGAAAGAAGAATCAAAGTCAATTGTTCGTCTTGTTGCCATGAGATGTTTTGCAACAGATGATCCTGGATTCCTTGTAATCACTTGGCCATCATGTATCGGTTGCGTGATAGATTTTACCAATTTGAACTGATTTGTAAATTGTATGTGAATTGAATTGATTAATCCCATGTGCCATATATGTGGCTGTTTAAGTCAGCGAATGAGAAGATTATACGAAATATTAACATCTCGCGGCACTTGTCTTCTTGCTATTTGAATGAAATGGATAAAAGGAACTCAATGCTTCATATTTCTCACACTTTTGTGATTCCGGACTCTGTGGCATTCGAATCATGGCAGATTATCTTTAACATGAAGGAAACAGTCCATGGTATGGTTGAGAAATAATTTTTACTTGCTTTTATACCAAAGCAGTTCAATTTTATCAAGGAATCTACAACTAGCCATTTTTGTCAACCCAGCATATGATCTGAATCTAGCAGGACGGTGTGGGAAAGCCGTGATACATTGATGGACCGGTGTCCGTCTCTTCAGAATGTTGGATTATTTGGGGTAGTTCTGACGTTCAGAATGACCATTACGTCGTATCGCCTAATCAACCTAACGATCACTGAAACTCGGATGGTCTTCAGTTAACCTATGTATCTTTGATGGATTTGCAAATAGGGTTTCTCAATTCTTCCCGTGGCTAATTAACCCAGCTATAATCCCGGATATCGGCTGGTTGTTCTCATTATTTGATGAAAACAGCCTAGTAACGAAACAGCAGTTCATGGCACTTATCGTAGAAATGCTTCAAATGATGCACGCCATGAAAACTATTATTAGGTGGCGAAGCGTTTCTCACTCTTGAGGAAACGGCGGCCGATTAAGATGATGTGTTATTGGTATAACAACTCCAACCTTTATCTCTTGTTTTCTGTAAAACTGTATCCTCCGACGTAATGTAACTTAAAATGTCCCTCAGCCAACGGTGTGCAAAAGTTTTTCCTCTATTTTATTTGTTTGCTTTCTCAGTGGGATCAAAATTCGGCCGAGTCCAGCGGGTTTAGACCAATCGTTGAAGATATAGGTTTCATCCAGCCGTTTCGTCCAGCCGAAAATCAACCTGATTCTTCATTCAGCAGAAACGATCCCAGTCGGGACACAGCAACAAGAGATGAAGCTGCTGTGGGTTGTGCACAAGATGATGAGGATTGCGTCTCTGAATTCGAAATTTCCAGAACATCAAGCACGGAGGTCTATAAGCCCAGCAGCACAGCCGAAACAGATGTATTGCAAGGTATGAATTTTGAATTTTTCTTGTTCCTTCAAAAGTTGAATAATATATTTTGCGCACAGCTTTTATGCTCATTTCCTTTTTCTATGGTCCCTAATAAGTGGGTAGCAATATATTTCAGCAAAGTTGAGAATAGTAAATTATAATGGGGTTTACTATTCAGCTTTGCAGCAGAACAGCCCACGGGAAGAACAAAATGAGGAACGACGTTTGCATTCCTTGGTCCAGAAACATTTCGTGTATATTCCGTTTCAGCGGAAGCAGTAATCAATTTTTTTCAGGACAGAAAAGATCCACTGCAGATCAAGCCTTATTGATGGCATCTACCAGTGTATATTAGTGTCTATTAGAATTACATGTAATCCATCAGTGATACTTCGCCTGTTATGACATAATTCAGTTTATCACTAGTTATATTTTTTCATACCAACTCAACTTCTGCTGACGTATCTCTTGCGGCATAATGCTAACATGTGAACTCGGGGTTACAATTCATCATTTAATAAACTTTAGTTACAAAACTCCTAATTGCATCACGTATAGTTATTTGTCTTTTAATCAGACCGGGGGATGACAATTTGCATTCGTCTGATGAAATGGTAAATGGTTTCTCTTTCCTTTTTTCACAGATTCCACCAAATCAGACGAAGTCTCAGAGACTACCACTAGCCAAACTCCGATTGCAGTTGAACCGATTGATCGAACGTCCGAGTCATTGTCAGATCAACTGCAACCACCCACAACGCTTCCANAGCCGGTGCTCATGGGAGTCAAAGAGGTCAGAGCGGATCTTTGTCACCTCACATTTTAACCCTTCTCACACCGGTCTGTTTTAGTCTCCTGCGATGTCTTACTTGACATGCCACAACCCCTGCTCCCCTACTCTTCTCTACCCTCCTTCGTGTGTTCATAATCTACTCCGAACTGATCTCTTCCAAAGTGACCAATGTATATAGGTGTACAATGATTCTGTTTTTCGGGGTCACACATGGTAACAAACAGCCACCCTCAGTTGCCAAGGCATTTTCCGCCCCTACCCATCCCTACAGTCCATATGACACATTCGCCTGACTCATCAGTTTGCCCTCATCCAAAGCATCTATTCTCGGGATAACTTCAACTCCGATTTGACCCTAAAGTGCCTCCCTCTTTGGTCCCGCACTCCAATTAAGCCTTATATATTATTTTTTGTCGCAACTGGTGAACAAATGGTCGTATTTTGTATAGCATATGCCTTGTTACCGCATTCATCTTAGTTGTCTTCGAGATTGGTAAGGGGATCACTTTGTTTCCTCAAAGCTAATTTAAAAGATTAACAATAAAATGGATTGAACATTCGCGAATTCAGTCAATCAATTGTTAATTTTGTCTGAATGAAATTAGTGAGTAGTGAAGCAAGTTATCATACGGACATATTCAAGACTAGACTATGTGAACATGTTAATAGTAGCTTAGATATCGATTAGCTATACACCATCGGTTCGCGTAAACCAGACGAATATGGTTTTCTAAATGTCTGATAGACATCCCAAGACATACTTGCGATACTCAAAAGTTAGGAGAAGGTGAGAAGCCACCTTCCCAATAGATGTGATATGGCTCAGCTCACATATGCGCTGATTGTAGTCCAATTGCAGCCCGAGATACCTTACCCCAAATACTACACCACCTCTTGTGTTGAAAGAACCGAGCCGATATCCCTGACTTACCGATAGGCGTAATTGTTGGTGTTTGTCCGTTGTGTGGGCTAGATTTCTGTCTGCCAGGGAACTGGAAACATTGTTTGTCTTCTTGTTCTGACCGTAACTCGGTTTGGCCCCGTACAAAATTCAAATGATGCACCTTTCAGTACCTACCTTCTTCCGGCAAACGATGAACTCGGATGCACAATATCGTAATTACATGAGAAAGATTGATAAACCAATGGGAATGTCTTTTACAAACGTCAGCAGCTTTCTCAACTTCCCAAAGATGGCTTTCCGTAGGTAACTATGATTGAATTAATAGAATTTGCCACGGTTTTGAGATTACAATTTCAACGTTCTGCAGTTGTGTGATACAATTACTTTTTCATTAGCACCCAAGAATGCGTTTTCGAAAATAAGGCGCAAAAATAAGGTAAATGTACCCTATCTCCATTAAATAGCTACTATTTCTATCCTCAAAACACGTTTGTTTATGTAAAATTGCATTTGTTTGGGTCTGCACAAACAACGAACCAGAACACGTTTAGGAACTCGAGCATGCAGTCAAAATGTCCAAGCATTCTACAACTCCATACATTGATCAAACTGAGAATTACAGGGCGAGTGAACCAGGACCAAGCGATCTCCGGCTGTGAATAAAATCAAATAGGCTTGCCGGGTGGTACAAACCAGGGCTCAGGCAGATTTAAATACACTCCGGAAATATCGCGTGAGTCCCTGTGCCACTTGAGCAATTCCTGTTCGCTTGTAACTCTTACAACCGTTAAATATCGTTGATGTTGGAAACAATCAGAGGACCTTTAATCATTCCGTTCTCATTCACGCTGATCAGCCAAATTTCGTTCTTCATAAACCTGACGATAAACTATTTCTTCTCCATGCTACTATTTATTTTACCGTATATGTTCGCTCGAGAAATAAAATCGATTGCTTCCAACAGGTTATTCATAAGCTTATTCATACTGAACAGAACCGATATCGTTTTTCCGCACCTTGGATTGGAATACCTTAAAACATTATTATTTTACACACGTAATGCCTTGGCACAATGATTTCTCTTCAATATCCAGTTCTTGCTAATACAGTTACTTTAATGTCACAACTGTCTGAAATTCAGCATCACTACTCCTCATTCGAAGAAAGCTAACAACACTCTAACTTAGCACTTAACATGCCATGTGTATCCGGCCCTTTGTCCAGTCAGTGTTGTTGATAGGGTTTCAAAATTACTTACACTTCTTCTTCTGTCTTGTTTCAATTCTAAGACACTTTATTCATCTAATTAAAGGCACAAAACCGGATTTTGCGCAAATTTTAGAGTTGAATTATTTAAAAAACATTGGTAAGAAGAAAATACCTCTTTATCATTTCGCACTAAAATTTTTTCCAGTTAACAAGCATGTGGTTTTATGTAGATAATTGCTTGTTTCTTCACTTGAGGGATTACTTTGACACGAGACAATCACTGCCATTTTCACGATCGGGAGCGCAGTAGCTCCAGCAGCTTTTACGAACACTATTTGAAAAATGAGTGGAAAGGTGGGTTTGCATTTGCAAATTTGAAGACTTAATTTCCACAGCTTGTCTCAATATTGTCCTGGCATTTTAAAAAGGTTTTATGAAAGGAAAACCATTTTGAGTACTTGCTAGCTCAGAACACAAATAGTGTTTTATGTTCTTCTCGGCGGTTAAATTTCCTTGTGTTTTTCGACGTTGATCTCACAGACCAATGCACTCTAGTTTCGTGTTTGCATTTGTTTGTATTCTATTAGGTGAGCTACGAGGTCAAAATAAGATCACAGTTCCTTTCCCCTTTTGATCCGTCACACCAATCCACCGGATGGAATTCGTGAGTGAGATCTGTGTTTATATTACGCTGTTTGCGTTCACAGAGTGAGAGATTCAACAGGCGCATTGGAGTTCAAACCCAAGTAAAGATACGTTTTCGTCCATGTGGGATGCTTGCCATAGACAACACCCTGGACAAGATAGACAGTGTTAACCACCCCAAAGGTACGCATATGATCGTACATATATATTGGGATGCTGTTTCAAGGTGTATTTTAAACAATACACCTCTCCCCGAAACTGCTTGTCTCATCATCATGATTGTATAGCTGAACACTGGGAAGTGAACTTCGCTGATCTCTGTTAAGCACTCAATGTTTGGAAAGTAAGTGAGAAAGTAAAAGATATATAGTGTTTGGGCCTTACCGAGGGAGGCGGAGAAAAGGAGCCTCTATGGTTGACACAGAATGTACAACCTACCTGTGCTTTCATAAATTTTCAAGCATTCTGATCTGATAAGAAATGTCGACGAGAATGTCAGTGCTATCGGTTAGCTGCCATATCCTTCAATAACTCCAACCAACCAACTTTCGGATCCCAACATAAAAAACGAGTGGCACTCAGTCTGATTAATCGCATTTCTTTATACCTTACCTCCATGTCATATAATGATCTCTATGTGGTTATCGCCAGCCCGGTATCGCAACTGAGAATAAGGCCTGGCGCAGTAGACGAAAGATGGGCATGCATAATACGAGTCCTAACCAGCGAGGCCTAAAGATCTGAATTCTGAGTGGTAAGGAAATCTCCACCGAATCCTGACGAAATACGTGACACATTACGTCAGAGTTGCGTACACACTCCATCCATCCAACTACGCCAAACTACGTAAACATCGGAAGTCCAAGACTTCTAGACCATGAATATCTTCCACTCGCAAATTAAGGGTCCCGCAAATGTTAAACAGAAGTGACCACATACTGGCGCAGTATACGCAACCTTTCATTTTTAAGGAAACATCACGTCTTCACCAAAGGTATTTCAGTCCTGCTAGGCTGCTGGCACCTTCAAGATGCAGGCGGTTACTTTATGGACTAATCTACCATCATTTGTCACACAACTGCCAAAGTAGAAGAAAAAATGTACCATAAGTAATTCTTGACCATCAAGCACACAGACAGGGTGGACGACATCCAAACTTTTGGCATCACTTTCCACTTTGAACCTACAGAGGGCACATTAAATGAAGTTACAGAACTTAAAAGTTTGTCAAGGGCGATTTGCGCATCCAACATACATGCAAACACACGAGCAATGTCGTCAGCGTGCTCTAAATTGCGCAGCTTTTCTCCAGCTGCCCATTAAATACCAAGATCTTAGAAGCCACTGAGTGCGTTCTCCATTATTTCATTTGATATGAATTCGAATAAGAATGGCCAAATATAGTACCCCTGCGAACACCGATCCTGGTTTCGAAATACTTACTCAGCTCCTTGTAGATCCTTAGTCTAGCCAAATTATGTAGTTACAGTAATCGCAAGAGATTTACATACTTCGGCGGTATTCCTCTGCAAAGCAATAAACCCATTAAGGATTTACGATCAACTGAAGCTAAGGCTCCTTTTAGGTCAAGGAACACTGCGACCTTCAGTCAATGATCTGTGCGGCATAGTTCGACGACCGGATGCAAGTGGAATATTTGGTCCATGCAACCGCGATCTGGTTGGAGTCCTGCTTGTTGTTCACCAATATTCTCCAAGATCAAAAGTGTCAGGCGGCGAATAAACACAGAACCTACCAATTTTATGATGATCGCAACAAAACTCATTCCGTGTTTGTTTGTGAAGTCTTCGCGTGATCCCTTCGCCAATATTGGAGCTATTCACCCCAGGATAAAGGGATACGCTCCCCGACTAGATACTGTGAAGTAAGCCAGTAATTGAGTCAACGAGAGAGTCACCCCCGGCTTAAAGATAATAGTGAGAAGCCCATTAAGTCCCGCCACCTTTTTCTTTAATGATTGAATGCATAACCTTACGTATAATTCTTTTTTAGGCTAAATTTGATCACCTAAGAAATTCGCGCTGCAAATGCCGGAGTAACGGCATTGGCAGGCCACTAAAATATTCTGTTCTGTATCGTGGATACTCTGTCTACTTTTATCGCAAATGGTTTCACTGACCGTGCTGCCTATCAGGTGAATTAATCTGTCATTATTGCCTGATACAGAAGGTTGCTGGCAATTTTGGCTCACCAGTGTTCCAGATCCTTCTTAAGGCTTCTATTGAGTTGTCATTGCAGATGACGCCTATTTCCA